TGATGTTTTAAAAAAATCGCCGAAAAATTCTCAGATCTCGGAATTAAAAATTTACTATAGAAACTTATCTTAAAATTGCCAAAATGTTGACAAGTTGTCAAATTTAAAACCATTTAATAGAAGAATTCACAACCCCAAAAGCGAAAAGTTGTTTAAGAGCTCTTTATTAGAAAAAATGAATTTTGAAATGCTTTTGTTTCACTTCTTGCTTAGAAACTCGAGTATCCCATCATTTATGTTAGAAATAGAAACAAATTATAACCCATGAACCCATTCAAAAGATAACCATATACGTCAGTGAATTGCCAAAAATATGCCTCCAAAATGCTAATTCACACTCAAAATGGGAGTCGTAAAAACAGAGAGAAATTTCAGATGATTAAAATTAAGGACCTTCTACTGATTTTGGTCAAAATTAAGAACTTTTAAGGACCAAAAATCGATTAAAAACAATTTAAGGACTTTAAAGGACTCTTAAGGACTGTACGAACCCTGTTATAACTTCATTTAAGTTTTCTAATCGTAAACTGCAAAACTGCTACTGCAGTATATCAGTGGCAACATCAATATCATCATCTTTCATGACTAAATGAAGTAACACAGGAAATCTGTTCAAAAAGTACCTTATATCAGAAAAAGATGCATTTGCTAGAGCAGAAACATCAGCAACTTTCGCATGCAAAATCACTTCATCGTTGACTGAAAGTTTATGTAGTATGTAATCACATACTCAACAGAAGTAACTTCTAACATGTAGTAAGTTACTTCTGTCGAGTATGAAGAACTTTGGCTTCATACTCGACAATACCCGAGAAGTAACTTTGGCTGCTCTGAATTCTAACATGAAGATAAAACTTATTTTTGGCTTCTTCTGAAAGTTCTTCCACAACTTTTGTAGTTGCAGCTCCTATTACCAAATCTTCATCTTTCTTCTGATTTTCTATTTCACCATAAATCACATCATATATAGAATAATTACAAGACAAAACAAACTGGTTTTACAAACATTGATAAAATGTCTTTAAACAGATCATAAATCACTGATTGCAAAACATGAATTAAAGGAATTCTTGCTTTGTAGAATTGTGTTAAGAACATCGAATGATGGCAAAATGAATTGTAAAAAAAAAAAGCAAAAAGTTTTGTTAAGGTCCGAAGAAAAAACATAAATATTCGTTCTTCACAAGATAAACTTACAGTAATCGGAAAATGTTTCATGTGTTGAGCAATTTTTTTTATTTTGAGAGAAATTTGTGTCAGCTTTACGCTTATATTTTGCAGTGTTATTTTGAGAACTGCCAGTTGAATTGCTGAATGGTGCAGAAATTACTTTATTTTTTTCAAACCTATTTTTAACAATGGAAGTAGTAACTACATCTCCATTTACTTTAGGTATTTTATAAATTTCAATAGAGCCTTTATCTTAACTCTCGAAGCATTTACTTCTTCTTTAAAAAATGCAAGAAGTGGGTTCCATTGATCGAGGATTCTAGATAAGCATTTCTTTAAAGACAGCCAGCATGTACACACGTTTCAAAAATTTTCTCATTTCAGTACAGTAGAAGTCCAGAAATCCGCAAAGCTTGGGACCAGAGGTTGAGCGGAAATCGCGGATTTAAGGACAGAAAAGATAAATCATAATATTCAGACGGAAAGTGCAAAATAAATAAGGTGTATTAAATACATTTAATTAAATTAATATATATATTATTTTAATAACTTATTATATGCATTAAATTATTATTACATATATAAATTGATTATATTATTCAATTTCCGGTTTGGGATTCCGGTATTACAATCAATGTTGTAAAATTTCAACAGCTTTTCTTTATTTTACCGTATATCATACACAATCGTATCGCCATTCCATACGATTCTGCTATAAACCAAGGAGTAGCACCCATCTCCATCTTTTGCAGAATTTGCATTTTTTGCATTACCATCAATGCAACGTGTTTACGTTTTTCAACGCTGCAAGCAGTAAAATCCTGAGTGCATTTCTTATCTGTAATTGTATTAAAAAGGGCTGAAATTTTAAATATTCTTAATTTATCCACAAAATATCCGGATTAAAAAAAGGCAGCACTAAATAATCTCGTGAAATAACAAAGCTCTGAAAATGCAATAATGTGAATCGTGAACTTGAAAGAAGAGTTGAGTAAATTGTCTGCTTTTTTACCTCGATGCAGATTAGCAGGGAAAAAACTTTTATGATGATGTCAATAATTTGGTATTTCCATTAGGTCTCATTATTATTCGGTAATTATGACGTCATTATTCGACAAGTATTTTTTCTTCGATATTTCGTACTCAATGTTGCGGCACCTATAAACTGAATGTTTATATTTTGAAAGGCAACGCAGATTTCAGGAATTGGCGGATTTTCGGTATTTGACTGTGTTATGCAGCTGTTGGAACTGTTTCAATTTTCCCTTCCTTTTAGAACTCCTAAGTATAAAAGAATAAAAAGGATCCCCATACTTATCTGCATTATACTGGTAAAAGTACAACCCCAGATCTGTTGACGGTCACTGCTGACCTTTACAATCTTGTAAAGAGTAGTGTTTTGAAAGATCCTGGATCAGGACACAGACAGGTACTTGCAGATGTTAAAATACCCAAAGCAGATCGGAGACCCTTTTCGTCATCAAGGGTCTCTTGGAATTTTAAGAAAGCGAATTGGCCTCTCTTTACCGAATTGATGGAACATGGCCTTAATCATAATAAACTTTACTTTAAATCATAATAAAGTTTATAGAATTATCAAGGATACAACGATATCTTGTGCTAAAAAGTCCATCCCTAGAGGAAGGCAAAAGAAATACTTCTGGACAGATGAACTGACCTCCCTGAAAGCTAAGAGAGACAGGCTTAGAAGAAAGGCAGAGTTGACCTCCCGACCCTGCGATGTTCAGGCTTGGAGAAAAACAATCTGCATACTTTAGAAAGGTCCTTATTACCAGTAAACGATCCTCATTTAATGAATTTATTTCAAAAATAAATTACAAACCGATAGTAAAAGAATGTTTAAATTTGTAGGCAACCTAATGAATGATCCTGCTGGCTCACCTAAACAAAACCTTCATAGTTAAAGATAAACAACTCTCTTCAGATTCTTCTGTAGCGAATGCTTTTGCACAGCATTTTTGTAGAGCTAATAAGAAAAACACTTATGCAAAAATACATTCGTTCAGAATTAAGCAAAAAAACTACACTCCTGCAATCGGAATTTGAATCTTCTACTGATTCAGTTTTTGAAGCACCCATTACTCGAGAAGAATTGACCTATGCTTTGAGAAGCCTTCTTTGTGGAAAATCACCTGGTGGAGATAGAATCCATTCTGAGTTTCTCCACCATCTTGGTCTTGGAGCATTTGAGACTGTTTGGATCTTTTTCAATCTAATTTGGAACACTAGTTGTACCAGCTGAATGGCAAACTTCTATCATTATTTCCATATATATAAAAGACAAAGATTGGGATAGTCTCTGTAACTATAAATAAATATCGCTTAGTATTATGCGGAAGGCTATGGAGAAAATAATTGTGAGAAGACTTAATTATCACTTAGAAACTTGTGCACTTCTTGCTGAGCAGGCAAAGTTTAGAAGCTCCAGATCTATTAACAAACATGTTGCCCTCCTAAGTCAATGTGTCAAGGACACCCTGGATAATAGACAGGTCCTGACTGCAGTTTTTATTGACCTCAAGTCTGCCTACGACAAAGTATGGCGGGAGTGCCTCCTACTGAAACTATCTGGGCTAGGCATTAGAGCAAATCTTTTTAATTGGATTAAAGGCTTCCTGTGCCAACGCTCTTTCAGAGTCAGGTACGGCAAAGCTCTATCGAAATCTAAGATCTTAAAAACAGGTCTCCCACAGGGAGCTATTAGTAGCTGCTCCCTTTTTAACATCTATATTAATGATTTGATTTATAAAATACGAGAGATTTCTGGCATCAAGTGCCTCTTATACGCTGATGATTTGGTTTTCTGGAATGTTTCTAAAAACGAAAGTACATTGAAAAACAGAGAGACTAAACTCTCTGCTGCCTTGAATGTTTTGGAAGTTTGGTGTGATACTAATAATATGGAAGTGAACTTAAATAAATCATACTGCCTGACTTTCTCACTCATGCACCAATCTTTGGATCTTCAGCTGACGTATAAGGGTACCCAAATCCTCTTGTGCGATAAATTTAAATATTTGGGTGTGACGTTTGACTACAAATTAACATGGAAGCGATATGTTGAGGACTTGTACAACCGTGCAACGAAGAGACTCAATGTCCTTAAACACCTTGCTGGGGCAAGGTGAGGTTGCACTGGACAAACCCTGCTCCAAACCTATCATTCGCTTATCTTCCTCCTTCTGACTTATTGCTGTGAACCACTTGTTGTGGGCTTAGAAAATGTACTCTATATTCTAGAAAAAAATCCAAAATCAATGCTTACGTATTGTTTCTGGAGCCGAGAAGACCCTCCGATTGACGGAATGTTTATGTTAACTGGTGATAAACCATTAAGAAACGTAATCCAAGAGAGGGCCTTAATTCTCTGGGAAAAGATCATTAGAGTTCCTGGATGTCTTTCACTCTGGAATAAAGTCAATCAAGATCCGACTAGAAATATAGACGCAGATGGGCTTTCTACAGAGAGATTTTCAGATAAAAAATTCACTTAATTTAATGAATGAACCAGAATTACTTGTTCCACTACAAAATCCAATAAATTTGAAATCTTTCTGGATTAATTTTGACCTGATCAAAAAGTAACGAAACATAATACGGATCCATCTATTTTGAGAGCGCTCGCTTTTGATGTATTAAATAATTTTTACCCTGGGTCAGAGTGGCTTTGGATCTTCACTCCTGTCTGATGGCCCTAATGCAAGTGCCGGAGTTTTCTCCAAAATTTTCTCTTTCTCCATCCCTGTGGGCCAAGGTTCTGCGTTTGACGGTGAAATTGCTGCGATTCGCACAGCTCTGTACCAGCTACCATGCCACTTGGAAAATTCTCAAGAGCTGTTATACTCAGTGATTCCCGAGCTGCTCTGCTGGCTATTGTTTCAGATAAAAATTCCATATCACAGGACATATTGGATTGTCAACTTTATCTACAAAACCTGGCTTCACTTGAGAAAACTGTTCTCCAGTGCGTTCCTGCCCATTGTGGGATTACACATAATGAGAAAGCCGACTTCTTGGCAAAAAAGGGTGCTTTAGTCATGCAGAATACTTTTCATCCTTTGCCTTTACATACTGTTAGGGACCTTATTAAAAGATCTATCAAAGTACGTGCTCAGAAAGATCTCTATCATCGTGTTTCTCATAAGTCTTGGAAGAATGCCATCCCAAATTTGTATAATGGCCCAAGGCGTAGAGCAGTGCTGAATTCCACCTTGCCACCAGACATGATTGCCTACAATATCATCTTCATAAATTCAAAATTGTTCCTTCTCCGATATGTACTCTGTGCAGCTCTGGAAAGGTGATGGATGCCGCACATCTACCCCACTGTTCTGCTCTGTGCAAGAATTCTCTCGCCGAGCGTTACTGGGAGGCAAGAAATATGTTAAATTAATGGACTCTGTTGCAGCTGTTTTTTTTTTTTTTTTTTTTTTTTTCTCATTGTATTGCTGTATTCTATGTTCTTTGTTCTTGTATTTTTGCTGTAACTATTCACAATCTGCCATTAGAAATAAAAAAGAACTCCTTTCAAGATAATAATAAATATCAACAATGTGTTCATCCACATTTATTGGTAAAGAAGCTGTCCCTTTTTCAGCTGCTAAATTTAAGAGGTGACAGGTGCACCTCTCAATCTGCAAATCTGAATTTTCCTTTCTTAAGATGCCTACAACACCAGTCTTCAAGTCTACCATTACTGGTGCATTATCGGCACCAAGTGCCCAGCAATTATCCAGAAGGACTGCATTTTCTTTCAAAGTTTTAATAATTAGCTGTGCTATATTTAGGACTGTCGAATGTCCTTCTAAAATGGGAAAAGAAAGTAAACTGCACTCAATTTCTGAAGACTCTAGATTAAAAAACAAAACAACAGTTGGATACAGTTTTGAATCGGTATTATTGCTTCCATCCGTAGAGAGGCAGAACGGAGCTGTTTTAATGCAATCAATAACTGAAGATTTATCTTTCAAACCCATTTCTTTAACAATTGCACCTGTTTTGGTCCTTGCACTTGAGTATTTCTTAGCGATTTCACTATCGGGGAAACATTTTTCTAAACAAAGCTGCAGCGTGATCCGATGTATTCAATAGCAGGTTGTGCTACAGTAAAAAGGCAGAGAACAGACATTCGGCATTAATCACTTTTTGGTCCTTTCTTTCCGAAGAAAAATTTAATTTTTCGTTTTTTTCTAAACAACTCATGTTGTGCTTGTGTTTTTGTATACGCACATGTTTGAGAACATCCGCCCTTCCACCATGCGAAGTCAAAAAATCACAATGACAGACGGTACACATCGCAAATTTATTACATTTTCTTGAGGAAAGAATGGAAGGAAAGTCAAATGTGTATGATTTTTGAAACGTACACAAGTATTTCATTTTACTCGCAGACATAACAAAAGTTGATAATTTCTGAAACTATTTCCCGAATGCACATGTCAGGACAAGATGAACGAAATAACAAAAGAACATCCAAATAGCAGGCTTGAGCTTGCTTTGTGCTCATTGGCTAATATATGCCAGATGACACGCAGTGGAGCTCGATGCCCATTGGAGAACTGGAGAACGACGTTTCTGGATACGGATGCTCTCACTCACAAAGCAGAAATTTTCATCTGATTCGCAAGGTTTTGTTTTAGATATAATCTAGAGAAAATTCAATTGCTTTCAGAGGTCCAAAATCACTTTTTTTTTTTTTTTTTTTTTTTTCCCCATATGATGAAGTATTAAGCCAAGTTCCATAAAAATCGTGAGAAATATTAAGAATAAGAAAAAGTCGGAAGAAATATATTGTAAATTGGGTTGGAAGGAGAGCGGTCGAAAGTCAGGAGTCTCTCGCCTAAATCAGGAGAGTTGGCAACTCTATGCATGCCCATCTTTGCAGCAGAATTACGTCACTCAAAATTCGATGGCTCTAAGTACTGTTGTTTTATTGCAATGCAAAAAATATACATACATTTATGCAGATTTCTTATTTAATTTCCTTAAATATAATGCAGGACTTAACATTTGGTGGCAACAGTTTGAAAAGTGAAATGGATATGTATAGTAAACCAATGCAAAATTGTAAAACGAAAACAATAGTCCTTCAGGAACAAAGTAAAAAAAAAAAAAAAAAAAAAAAAAAGGTCAAAATGGATATATCCATCGAAATCTGAAGCCCAGAATTTTTCACAATTACACTTCCTTAACTTTGTTCAAGGAATTAAAAATGTCATTACAACCTGTGACAATTTGCTCAAATGTTTGTAACTGTCATCAAATACAGTTCCTTTTACAGTGTAAATTAACATAGACCATACATATCCAGTCTTTGATTCACAAAGCATGTACGTTTTTATTCCAAACCGTGATTGTTTCAGTTGAATATACTGTTTCCAACTTAGCCTTCCTTTTTATAAGACTCTCGTCAATGGCGAGATCTTTTCAGGAGTAATGACTTCTTGGAACCTAGTTTTCAAATGCTTTAGCACGGGCCAGATTTTAACTAATTTGGGGCACTCATGAGAATTTATGTCAAATTTTTCATTATCTGAAAAATGTAAATAACTATGAATTAAATGGAAACGACAATATGGCATTTACTTTACGGGAAAACGGTGTAGATGTAGAATGCCTCTTGCTCTAATCCTGCTCAACTACTGGCTTTCTTATAATACCTGCATTTCCGTCTTTCGATGTTGGTTCCCATTTTTTCTTCTAGAATGTCTACTAAATACACCATTTTGCATGCACTGCTCAGCACATCTATTTGTTTCCAAAACAATCAGGTCTAGCAAATAATCATCCATGAAAGCCTTGTAAAACTGAAGTTTACCATTAGCTATATCAATATTCAAGTTAATTTTTTGATTTCCAATGAAAGCGAATCTAGGAGGTGGATCGGGTGGATTATTAAAATTAAGTTAAAAAAATTGCCTTGCTTGGCTGGACCATCTGTACTACTCTCAGAATCACTAGTGTCAAAGTCATCCAGAAAACTTCCACTACTTCCAGACTCACTTGCAGATATTTCGGATTCTGCTTCCGAATCACAACAAATTAGCTTCATATGTTCTGAATCATCAATTACTTTATGATAAAGATAGTTTACACTATTTGTATATAAATGAAGTTATCAAATAATGTGTAAAATACATACTAAAAGCTAAATACTCAAAGAAAAAACTCATGAAAAAGCCCGCGCTTTTAGACCAAACAGAACACACTTCCCAAACTAACATTTTGTGGAAAACTACCGCCATCTATATGACTAATTTGACATTAAAAATAGAAAAAATACTGCCAAAACAGTGAAAGCGACAAAGAAATCAGATTGCCCACACGCTGTACAGGCAAATCATTACAGGCATAAAAACTGTGCCCGTACAGTGTACGGGAAAAACAGGTGAGGGGTTAATACCCCTTTGAAGTTTCTCAGAAGGAATATAATTGGAGACGAAAATCATGGTTGTACAGTGTCAAGCACAATCATGACATTTAGGGTTTTTATTGCTTTAAAGCTATGGTAATGTTGCTTGTAAATGAAGAATGGAGCAATAGTTAAAATCATACGTCCACCTACAACACAGTAGTTGATACAAGGCCTATCTTTTCTGTAACAGCTGTAATTACTAGCACAAATATGCAAGCCAAGCATGTGTTCTTGTAGAAGGTTGTACTTATTTATAGAATGCATACCATTAATCTTAATGGACAAACCATTTGTGTTCCAGACGATAACATTAATAATGTTATTAGAATTACTTACTCTGGCCATGAATTTCAGTAAGCATTTTAATATATACATACAATTTTTCTATTATTATCACTACATGATTTTAATTTTCGGACATATTTCTTAAAAATTTGTTTCATTTTTACTAATTTATTAAGTCTACAGGCACTATGAATATCCTTAAGACTTCTATGAAGTCCATAACTTCAGATCTGTTTTTATTGTTATTTTGACTTTCATTACAATTAATTTTATTTTCAATTTGCAGGACTTGTTTTAATTCTGGAAGTTCAGCAGAAAGAAATTTATCAGGCACTGAGAATGTAAGTTTCAGCTGGTATTTCCATTCTTCCAATGCTTCCCACCTAGGCAAAACTTAGACCTGTCTTTAGGGAACTTTTTTTTGTAACAGTTTTATTTTTAGGGACTTTTGGACACACCCTATATGATGCTGTCTTTGGCAATTACTTAATTTAGAATTACCTGTTTTCCCTTTAATTGGACAATCAGCACTTCTATGCATTTCTGAGCCCTTGACACAAACACGGAAAAAATAATTCTATGAGGAATGATGCCATTTCTGGCAATTATGACACTGTGGAATTTGATTTTTGAGATGCATTTTTTCATAGGGACAGGAAATAGCATTAAATCTTTTAAACTGTAAATTTCCTCTCTTTGATTGGTCAGTATTAGTTGTACTAAAATCAACTGCAGGGATGTTGCAGTGCTTGGTGGGCTGTGTGATTTGTGGATTGTAAAACCCCATTCAAAGCATGGCATTTTAGATCTGCTCATGAAGATCTGTATTTAAACAACTTCTATTAGTCTATGAATTTTTTATAATTACCTATGAGTCTCTTTTTTCATAAACTTCCATTCATTAAGATGATATTTACATCATTAAAGTAAAAAAGGAAAACATATTTTAAATTATACTTTAATATTAACATGCAACAAAAAATGTAACTTCTGGATAAAGGCAGTCATGCTACTCAGGGGTTTAAATGATATAATTGGAAAAAAGTTTCAGAACCAGACTCCATAACAGAACCTAGTACAGTACAAAGCTCGAAATCCGGACGTCCATTATGCAGAATGATCTAAAATCTGGACCTCAAAGCCACAAGCATTTTTTTATTAATGCTTTACGCATGTGCATTTAGTTTTTCCTTCCATAATAAAACATGTGGAGATTTTCACTTAAAAATTCCGATTCTTAATTTCACTTGGGCACTAAATAAAATACGTCGTCATGGAAAAATAATCGTAAGCATAAATATATGAGATTAATAATTTGGCTCCATAGCTGAGTATCTACTTGACATACATCTCAAACCGAAACATTCACCTATTTTATATCCCTGATTAATATAAAATTATCTCTACTAATTCTAAGACATTTCAATTAATGTAGCAGACTGAGCTACTATGTTTATCAATACATGGCAGCTTCAGTAATAACTCATGCTGTGATGTCTAAACTTTTTTTATATTAGTAACTGAATAACAAGAGTATGGCAACTTTTTATGCTAACACTATGCTTGGCGATGATTATAGATTTTTAAATGCTCTAAGAAATAAGA